ATGCATGCATGTATGTAATGTATGTATGCATGCATGCATGCATGTACGTTTCTATGCATGCATGTACGCATGCACGCATGTACATGCATGTGTATGTGTGTATGCACGTATTTATGTACGCATTTATGTATGACTGTCTGTCTATCTGTCTGTATGCGTGTGTATATCTATATATATGTATATCTATGTATGTGTGTATGCATGTATGCATGTATGTTTGCATGCATGTATGTATGTACAGCTGTATACATGTGTACATGTATGCATGTAATCACGCACGCATGCATGCGCGTATGTATGCATGCACGTATGCATGCATGCATGCATGTGCGTATGCATGCATGCATACATGTACGAATGTATATATCTATATATATATAGAATGTATTAGTGTATGTATGTATGCATGTATGCATGTATGTGTGTGTGTGTATGCATACGTGTATATATGCATGTATGCATGTATGTACGTACGTATGTATGGGTGTATGCATGCATGCATGTATGTATGTATGGTTGCATGTATATGTATGTATGCAGGTATGTATGTATGCATGTATGTATGTATGCATGCATGTATGTACGTATGCACACACATATATATGCATGTATGCATGCACGTATGTATGTATGGATGTATGCATGTATGCATGTATGCATTGATGCATGTATGCATGTATGCATGTATGCATGTATGCATGTATGCATGTATGTACGTATGAATGAATGAATGAATGAATGAATGAATGAATGAATGTATATGTGTGTATACATCTATGGAAGAGCGTGTTCTACCGCTGCTGGCGGAAAACCGAGGGGGGTCTCTGGGGGTTCCCAACCCGTCCCCCCCCTTCGAAAACAGGGGGGGGCACTACCTGTTCGACCCCCCCCCAGTCCATCATGAAAAGGGGGATGGGGGTCACTACTGGTTCGAACCACCCCCCCTCCCCCGCCGACAAACGATTCCCGCTCCTCGGGACAGTGGGACAATGGTGGGGACATTGGGACAGTGGTGGGGACGGTGGTGGTGGGGACAGCGTTGTGGGAACAGTGGGACAGTGGTGGAGACAGTGGGGACAGTGGGACAGTGGTGGGGACGGTGGTGGTGGGGACAGTGGTGAGGGGACGGTGGGACAGTGGTGGGGACTGGTGGGGACACTGGGGACAGTGGGACAGTGGTAGGGACGGTAATGGTGAAGACAGTTGTGAGAATGGTGGTGAGGACGGTGGTGGGACAATGGGACAGTGGTACAGAGGGGGGGGAGAGTGGTGGGGACAGTGGGGACAGTGAGACAGTGGTGGGGACAGTGGGGACAGTGGGATAGCGCAGTGGGACAGCCGTGGGGACAGTGGGGACAGTGGGACGGTTGTGGGGACAGTGGGGACAGTGGGACGGACAGCGGTGGGGTCAGAGGGGACAGAGGGGACAATGGGGAGAGTAGGACCGTGGTGGGGACCGTGGTGGGGACAGTGGGGACAGTGAAGCACTGGTGGGGGCACTGGTGGGGACAGTGGGGACAATGGCGGGAACAGTAGGGACAGTGGGACAGTGGTGAGGACAGTGGGACAGTGGTGGGGATTGTGGTGGTGGGGACAGTGGTGTGGGGACAGTGGGACAGTGGTGGGGACTGGTGGGACACTGGGGACAGTGGGACAGTTGTGGGGACGGTGGTTGTTGGGACAGTGGTCAGGGCGGTGATGAGGACGGTGGTGGGACAATGGGACAGTGGTACAGTGGGGACAGTTGGGACAGTGGTGGGAACAGTGGGACAGCTCAGTGGGACAGCGGCGGGGAGAGTGGGAACACGGGGACAGTGGTGGGGACACTGGGGACAGTGGGACAGTGGTGGGGACAGTGGGGACAGTGGGGAGAGTGGGACCGTGGTGGGAACAGTGGTGGAAACAGTGGGGACTGGGACAGTGGTGGTGTGGGCGGTGGTGGTGGGGACAGTGGTGAGGGCGGTGGTGAGGACGGTGGTGGGACAATGGGATAGTGGTACAGTGGGGACAGTGGTGGGAACACTGGGGACAGTGGTGGGAACAGTGGGGACAGTGGCGGGAACAGTGGGACAGCTCAGTGGGACAGCGGCGGGGAGAGTGGGGACAGTGGGACAGTGGTGGGGACACTGGGGACAGTGGTGGGGACTGGGGACAGTGGGGAGAGTGTGGGACCGTGGTGGGAACAGTGGCAGTGGGCATTGCGACAGTGGTGGGGGACTGGGGTACTGGTGGGGACATGGGGACAATGGTGGGGACAGTGGGGACAGACCCCCTTCAGTTTTCTGGAGATGGGGGGGGGTTCGAACCGGTAGTGACCCCCTCCGGTTTTTGGAGGGGCGGGGGGGGGTTCGAGACGGTAGTGAACCCCCCCCCTCCGGTTTTCCGGAGGGACGGGGGGTTTTGCCGGGGGGCAGGGAGGGGGGGGGTGGGGTGGGGGGAATTTTCGGGAGGGGGGGGGAATTTTCGGAGGGGGGAGACCCCCAGGTTCGGAGGAGGAGGG